AGGTGAGTGCAATACATGCATGGCATTATACATGGATGTTTTATACATCATCAGGAAGACTTGCGATAAGTCGGCCTTGTTTATGTTGACATGATATTTAAGTCATTTATCATATATTTGATATATTCTAAAAGAGTCAAAGGTTGAATATAAAATGCATTGATCATTGATTTTTGCATATGATGTTATCATGAATGTTATTTTGGGTATGAACTGCCCAATGTTAAAAATTGATAATATACTTTGCCATGGATGGATCGAATAAAATTGACTATATGCCCAAGTATGTTATTGAGGATCAGTGGTATTAATGGCATGCCATAGAGTCTAGCAGCTGCAATATTAGGTAGCACTAGAGTGTCTAGAGAAGGCACATAGTGCGGACCTTAGTGTCTAGTGAAGACATAGTACAAACACTACGTTGTAGTAGGTGGGTAAATCCCGACCTCAGCACTTAGGTGCAATATTTGACTCCTATATCGGGTTCCTCATACAGTTATACTATGGGCTATAAGTTATGGTTTATTGGTTAATAAATGGTAAGTATGCAAATAAGCTTACGAGCTTATGAATAATGGCAAGTATATTGATAAAATAAGCTTAGGAGCTTATGGAATTTTAAATGGTAAGAGATTTTATATTATTTTGATCATGGTAAAATATTGGATATGTTAGTAAAATGATTTTATGGAAATTTGATTTTTAACATTGAAATTCATGCATGAATTATATTGCACTGTATATTGTTTTAATTGCCTCACTAAGTTTATACTTAGCTTGTGATAATTTTCACGCGTAGGTAAAAAGCAAAGAATAAGAATAAAGAGTTCAGAACGACATCAAAGATCGAGAAGTATATTTCAATATCAGTAAGACATCCTAAGTTGTAATGTTAGTTTTATTAGTGACATGTAATTATAAATGTTTTATTTGTTTTGTTAAACATATTTGGAAACTAAATGGAATTTTGTTGAATTTATATGTATTTTTAAATGTTACTGTAGCAGTTACTGTAGCATTAACAGTAACCACAAATTAAGAGATTTTCCAGAATGATTTTGGGGTACTGATTCCCCCTACAGGGAACTGATTCTCCCACTATTCATCGACACTGTACAATGTTCACGGGTACTATTCACTATTCATTAAAACAATCTTTTGAATTAAATTAGTTTATAACGTAATATAAATTATATGATATGATATTTTTATAATATCAATTACAAATTAAGGAGTTAAAATTCTAAATCGAGTTTTGAAATGAAAATGGTTTTCGAAATGCGGGTGACATCTATAATCTGTATAGGTATAATTATACGGGTTATGGGTATTACATTAATTGGAATCAGAGATACAGGTTTAGCCGATTCTAGAACTAAACCGAGGTTGTTTTGAGTTAAAAAGTGTATACATGCCACTAGGATGTCAAAAGTTACTGATAGTTGTATATATACGGTGATGATGCTTATAGGGAGTAAAGTTACTCTTTACTATAGTATGATGATTCTGACTATGTTCAGGTGTTGGAATTAAAGACAAAGGTAAGAAATTCAAAATTGTTGAAAAGAAGGTCGAAATTGAAATCAACAAAAAGAGACCTGACACGACTTATGTAAAACACCTTAGAAGGGTGGATGTTGTTTTTCTCCAGTTTATGGAAGAAATTCCCAGTTTTTAATGAAGATTCTGAATTGGATGAATCGATTAAAAAAGTTTGAATGGATTACAATAAAAGTCGAATTGGATAAGGATCCAAGGGAGATTTCTGAATCTAGTGATGATTATGAGGTTTCTCCAAGTAAGCTTAAATAAGTGAGAAATATTTAAGCTAAGCATTAAATTGTTTAAAGCATTGTTGGTTTGAGTAAGAGGAATTGAGTAAGCGGTAAATATGATTTCCGTTAAAAGTTTACAGAAAGTTGAGTTATTAGTGAATCAAATGGTTATGAGTTGGATTGAGAATATTTATCAAGTCCATAAAGTTGGATAGAGTTACCTTGTGAAGATAAATATGTGAAAATGTGTTGTCTAACCATTTCATGTTGCAATGAATTATTGTATATATTGAGATGGATTCTCAAGAACTTGAAAAGTGTCAAGTTCATAATGATAAGAAAAAGAGTAAGTTTGTTTACTAGTGTGATTTTAGCATTAACTACTATGAAGTTTTTGCTACAAAAATTTATCAAGCTTTCTTAATGAAAGATGGGAACATTGAGACTTTCAGTTGAGATGGGAAATGTTTCAACTGTTTGGAAATATTAATTTGGATCTGGAAAAGTTATACATATTTCCTTAAGAATAAAATAAGGAATTTCAAAGTAGAAATATTCAATTCTACTTGGTATCCAGTGATGTTATAGCGGAAGACCCATAGGTCATGATCATGATGCAAGTGTTAGATGTACAAATAGTGAATGTCCGATAAAGATGCATGAGTTTATGTTATTGATGAATTCGATGAGATTATCATTAATGAGTTTTAGATCATTTTGATAATGACACTAGTAGAAAAAACCCCATATATGACACATATTTGCCTATCGTTGAAGCCACCGACATGAATTTAAGATGACGCGCAATTGTGCGTCATAAATTTATGACGCGCATTTATGACACGCATTTATGACACGAATTTATGACGCACATTTATGACTTACATTGCGCGTCATTGAAGCCCCCGTCATATATGAAGATGACACACATTTGTGTGTCATAAATTTATGACACGCATTTGTGACTTACATTGCGTGTCATTGAAGCCCCCATCATAAATGAAAATGACACACATTCGTTTGTCGTGATTGCATTTCGTGAATTATATATATATATATATATTTATATATTGTAGATTGACAAATAATCAAACTAAATCACATTTAATGCCTCGTAATACTAAATATATATATCATATTATATATAAGCAATACATTTGTATACAATATATTCACGCTACAAATAGTTTACAATAAACGATTAGTCAAAGAAAACAAAGAAAATACAACATTGAGAAAGAACATATAACCATTATATATATACAATAATGCACTTTGTTTCCACATACTTAGAGCTTTCAGCATCTGGATAAAAGCCACAGATATGTGCAAATAGGTAGTGTTGTCAAACCTATATTGACAACAAAAAAAATGAGGATGCTTAGAATATGCAAAAACAATAACAAAAAATTGTAAGCAAAATAAAACAAAGATGTCAAAATTTTGCACAACTAGTACATAATAAGCTCCATATCATATAAGCAATTTGCAGAACACATCACCATATGAAATGTTAACATCGGTCCTATATAAAACATGTACAATCCCAACTTACCATGAATATGGCGTGGCAAGATTAGTGCAAACAAAGCACAAAAAAGAAATGTCATACTGATATGTAGAGAAAATTGAAAAGCTACCTCATATCAAATACAACAACATAATGTTTTTAACTACTACTCTTATATGGAATCATCAAGAATATCCAGGGTGAGAGGAGAGGAGGGCTGCTAAGGTCTCTAATGCTAATTGCTAACCTACAACTATAGTTCAGACTATAGCATACCAACAGAAAAAAAAACTAAAGAAAGCGTGGGGGTTGTGATATACGTAGTACATATGAGCAAGCAGTGCAATCGGCAAAAATGTAATTGTTGCACAAAACATTTACTAAAGTACAACAGAAACTAAGGTTATGTGTCTCAGTTATTCCCAGGTCAGTGCCTAATGCTTTTCCCACTTCTTGTGCTGGAAACAAAGGGACCACACAATATCCTTGATAATCAAATATCAACACAACTGATGAACTAGATGATTTGGACTAAGGGGAAAGCACCAATAGTGAAAGGCAAAACCAGTCATACCAGAACTGCAAACCCTGCCTTGTGTAATTTGGGAGGACAAAATTTTGATCAACCAAAGACTAGTTCAACCTTCAACTTTATTTCAGATGCTGTCTGCAAAAGTTTAGAAGTCATTAGTGCACCTAAATTTAGCTACCATCTTTAACAATAGTTGTCTATAAGGTTTAGAAACATCAAGGTTGAGAGGGAAGAAAAAAATATCAACAAATGCCAATGGAAATAAGCAAGCAATAAAAAGAGGCTGCCATTTGTTTCATTTTCCATGCTCTCCTAAAAAAGAGAGAGATGAGCATATAGACTGAGACATGCAAATACAAAAAGCTCTGAACCAAATTTCAGAACACTTGTTTTGATTAAAAGATAACTTTGACCCCATAATTGTAAGAGTGACAATAGACTTATTTTTGAATAAACGTATATGCCTTTTTTCTGAGTAACTCCAACTACTTCAAGTTATTTCTGCAAGTTGAAAGACTGAGTGAGGTGACTAGAACATCGAATTACATCATTTGAAAGGAAAGGGCCACAACACATTACAGGCTAAAGCAAATGCATGATATCAGATCTAGAACTTTCCAAAAATCATACAAGAGTATACAATGTACCATCCTTTAAAATTTTTTTGGGCACAGCAGTTGGAATCAAGTTAGGGCATGTTACAAAGTAAAAGATTATATTATATATTGCACTATAACACATAACCCAAGCTTCAAAACACCCTTGAAAGGAATCAACTAGATTGAATCCCACTGAAGGATGCCGAAAGCTCTGGCAAGATTTATTCCGTACAACACTTAGGCAAAGTCTGGTACAAGGATGGGAATGAGTAACGATGAAAAATTTGGTAATCTAATGGTTAAGCTATGCAGAGTAAGAAAGTGGATATGAATCTTAACCATTTGATAACACCACTATAAACAAGTGTAGAACAACTAAAATACTTTTGTTCTGTCTCATGAAAGTTAGTTAAGACCGCCAGATGAGTAAATGTCACATGTTTACTGTCCCCAAAGCTTTGTTTTTCTAGTCACACAAGTTGGGTCTGACAATACTCTAATGAAAACCAACTAACCCTGTAAAGAATCTAATTCCACCATACAAGTAAGAAACTCATGCAAGCAAAGAAGCATACCGTTCAACTTCAAAGATAGATTTTGCACATTGTTCAGCAGGCTGGCTTATTTCCTTCACTGAATCGATCACATTTCTCTTTCTCTTCACCTTGCACGTCAGGAGTGCGTCTATTTTCTGCATCCCATCGGATACACAGCTACAATAAAAAAATAGATTCATAAACACACCGCATTGAAATTCACACCGAGCATATTTCTGATAGACAAGGAATGCAGAAACAAGGTCATTACAAACCTTAAAGCTAAAAGCGGCCGAGGATTGCCACAACTTTGTTTCAAAATAGAAAGTTTCATGGATTGTGCCAAGTACAAAGCTACATCCAAGCCAGGGGCATAAAGCATTACAACTTTCGAAATCAATGGTTTATTCTGCAAACAATATAAAATAAGAACGTCTTCTTATATAACTTATAAAAACCCAAACAATCAAAGACTTTGTTCCACACATTAATAAGGAAACCAAGTATAAAGTTCAATACATAAAATTATACTATTTATATACGTTAATAAAAACCCAGGAAGGCATGAATCCATCGGCAAGAACCCAAGTAACAAGACCTTGAACATCCTGGTACCAAAACAAAAAAAGACCAAAACTTCAACTACGTTTCTTTTTCTTTTCTTTTGACATAAAGTCGATTTCTAGAAACTTACTTGCAAATTCAAAGTATTGTTAGCTTCTGGCGTCTTGAAAACAAGTTCTGGTTTTGCTTGCAAAGGAAAGGCTTTAAGTTTCATCACATTCCCCCATTATACTAAAACATATCAATATAATCCCTATAGAAAATATAAAAAGAAAGAGCCAAAAAAAGTGTACTTGAGGTCCATAAATATCAAAATAATTAGATCTTTCCTTTGAAAACTCTTCCGAATCCTCCTTCCCCAAGCAAATTAGTTTCCCTGAAATTCCTTGTTACTGTTGCTAACTCCGGAATGTGAAACTACATGCCCATTGCCTTTGGACCCATGTCCCTAATCATTTCCTTTCTTATGCTCTGTTACCAAAATTTTGAACAAACTAATGATCAAATCCACTGGGAAAGAAGAAAGTTTCCCGAGAAATTTGGTGTTAGAATACTTAGCATTACCTTCTAGAATTGCCTTTCTTCTCGTAGCCCAGGAAACTGGTTAAAAAAATGAAGAAAGATTTTACAGATAAGCAAGATTGTACGGAAAAGTAATGAGAAAAAGGGAAATGAAAAGGAAAACTGAGGAATCAGCAGAATGGAGAGAAGTGGTTCGACTTCCATTGTCAATGTCGATCCTTGAATCTTTAGAACGAGGATTAAAGCAAGGGAAATAACTCATCTTCTTTTTGCTTATCTCCACAATGTTGCGGTTTTCTCCAAGCAAAGTCAAGACACCAAAGAATTTCCAGTAATTCGTTGAAATACCATCAAATTAAAAAGACGAGAAAGAGTACTGACCCCTTTGAAGCGAGCGAATTGGTCCTCCTTAGGTGATTTTGGGTGCTTTCGTTTAGATTTCGGAGGTTTAGGGTTTAGGGAAAAAGCATTCTCCATATGATCTCTCAATATTGTGTTTCTTGGTAACATGAATGCAAAAGTGTGAACTGATGATTGAGGGGGAAGAAGCGGGAAAGAATTAAAATTATTGGGGGAAAAAATTAAAAGACGACTTTTACAGATGACATACAAATAAAAGTGTACTCCATGTTTTTGCAAATTTTTTGGATTATGACTATTAAATATGACACACATTATTGTAAGTCATAAATCGTTCAGATTTTAAGAAACATGACATTTTTTTATGACACACATATTTTGCAAGTCATAAATTATCGTGTGTCCTCGTCCGTGTGTCATTAAAGGTATATTTTCTTGTAGTGTGAGTTGGTTGTCTCTGGATTGAGGTTGGGTTAATGGTCGCAAGAAGAAATTAATTTAGAAAAATGTGAAGAAGTTAATAATTTTAATGATTGATGAAAAAGTGAAATTGTCACTAAAGTGATATCAACAATGGTTATGATTAAGATGATGTAAAAAGGATGCATAGCTTTTCTTGTTAAGGTGATAGATACTCAAGTATCTGAAATAAGACCATGAGATAGGGGATGCATTAGACCTAGTATTTCACCTTGGGGTGAATCGGTGTTGATTGTGAAAAAGAAATAAGAAAAAAATATAGGTGCGATTATGCATAAATTAGCGATAGTTAAACAGAGTAACTATCAAGAATAAATATCCTATTTTGAGGATTTATGACTTGTTTTGATCAGCTTAAAAGGAGCAGCAATGTTCTCTAAAAAATTATATTCGAATGGTATATCATCAGTTAAATATTAAAGAGGAAGATGTTTCAAAGATAGTTTTCAGAACACGATATAGACACTACGAGTTCGTAGTAATGTCGTTTGGTTTGAAAAATGCTCAGACATCATTCATGGATTTGATGAATCAAGTATTTCAATTTTAATAGGATTAATTTGAGGTGGTTTATATTGATGAAATTCTGGTATATTTGAAGACCAAGAAAGAGCATGATGTTTATTTTCGTACTATGCTCGAGATACTTAAGGATAAAAAGTTATATGCTAAACTGTCAAAGTGTGAGTTTTGGCTATCAGAAGTTGAATTTCTTAGTCATGTTGTTTTGGCATATGGCATAAGAGTAAAAAAATATTTCACTTGAAAAAAAATGCGAGACTAAAGATTTTGAAGTCAAGTATGATATGTGTATATTTTATCGAGGAAAAATTTGTATTCCTCATAATGATGAGTTGAAGAAAGATATTTTTTCTCAAGTATATTATGGTCCACTGACTATGCATTCAGGTGGGAAAAAATGTATCAAGATGTAAAAAGTCATTTTGGTGGCCAGGTATGAAAAGAAATATTACTGAGTTTGTTGCTACATGTTTGACATGTCAAAAAGTAAAAGTTGAGAATAAAGAACTTCGTAATTGTTGCAACTGATTATTATTCCAGAGTGGGAATAGTAAATATTCACTATGGATTTTGTTACAGGGTTACCTTTGACATCAGAAAAAAAAGATTCCATTTGGGTAATAGTGACCATTTAATTAAATCGGCACATTTCATTTCGATGCAAATGGACTATGCATTGGATAAATATGCAGAGTTATATATATCAAAGAGATAGTTCAGCTACATGGAATATTAATATCAATTATATTAGACAGGTATCCAAGGTGCTCTTTAAGATTATGGAAATATTTGCATAAAGTTTTGGGTATTTGATTGAATTTCAGTACAATCTTTCATTCATAGACTGATGATAAGTCAGAAAGTGCTATTCATATATTATAAGATACGCTGAGTGCATGTGTGATTGATTCCAATGAATCATGGGAAAAGAAAAGTATTTGATTTTAGTAGATTTTTTCTACAATGACAGTTATCAATTGAGTAACAAGATGTCTCCGTATGAGGTTTTATATGGGAGAAAATGTCGAACACCATTGAATGAGTTCAAGTTAAAAGATCAAAATCTTGTTAGCTCAGATTTATTGAAAGAGATTGATGATAAAGTAAAGATAATTCAAGATAATATCAAGATATCATTTGATTGACAAAAGTCTTAGGCAGACTTGAAGTGAAAAGAGATTAAATTTTATGAAGGTGATAAATTTTTCTTAAAGTATCGCATTGGAAAAAACAAATTGCGCTCAAAACGCAAAGGGAAATTAAATGCAAGATCCATTGGATCTATGAGATATTTAAAAGAGTTAGACTGATGGCTTATCAGTTAACGTTAACTCTGGAGGTAATTGAGAACCAGAGTTGGACAAAGTACACAATGTTTTTCATGTGTCGATAGTTAGAAAGTATTGATTAGATCTTTCATATGTCATTGCATTAAATGAAATTAAGATCTGACCAGATTTGATTATAAAGAAGAACCAATTTGGATATTAGTTCGAGAAATCAAAGAACTACATAGCATGACGATTCCTCTAGTCAAAGTGATTTAGAAAAATCATAATGTATAGGACGTTACTTAGGATAGAGAGGATGATATGAAAATGTGTAGATATTTTTAAATCAAATTGAAGAATTGGATTAAACAAGTTCAAAATATAATGATTTGCATGATCTTTACAAAATTCTCAAAGTAAAGAGGAAAAATTCAAAAAGTTGGCAGAAGAGGTTTTTGCATAAGACGAGAGTATGTCTTACCAGTTCGTACAACCCTAAATTAGGGTTATGAATCTACAATGGAAAGTGCAATCCTCATAAAAGAGGAGTTAGTGTTTTCATAGAAAGTTTTGAAATTCGAGGACGAATTTTCTTAAGGAGAGGATAATTGTAATGCCCCAAAAATTTAGACAATGACCAAAATGAAAATTTTGAAAGTTTGATGGTCAAAGTAGAAAATTGGGAAAAAGTTTAGGGAATTAAGTGATAATTTCCTAAAAAGAATTTTTATTCCATAAATAGATGGTTTACTCTTGAGAGTGGAGTTTTATAGAAATCATAGTTTTGGATTTGGAATTTTAGTAAAGAAAAACTAGAAAGGGTTAAAGCCGATAAGGAAACTGGTATTTCAGATCGAATTGGAATTTTACAAAAATATGAAGGATGCTATAAAATGGTTGGAAATATTATTTTAATATTTTGGATCAGAGAAATTTGGTTTGGAAATGTGCAATTTTTCAGATTTACGAAACTGTGGAATTTAGTGACTAAAACGCAAGTTTTGAAAATTTCATGGCATTTTAATAAGTCAAAGTCAAATTAATTTATATTTGACTTTTTAATATGATAAGGATCAGATGGGTTGGTTTTATGGTGATTATGGAGATTCATTAAGGGCAAAATTGGAAATTCTTATGGAATGGAATATTATGATATTATATTAAGCATGTGATAGATATAATTAATATTGGGGGAACATTTCAGCTTCTTCTTCATCCAAGATCGACACCCCCAAGCTTGCAAGGTAAGTATTATTGTTTTAAATTTTGAAGCAATCTTGTTGAGAATTAGACTTGGGTGTGATTAGGAATAATATTCTACGTTCAATTCTCTACATTTTGACATGAATATTTCTAGGGTTTCATGTTCAAGCTCATCTTGAGTTGATGAAAGGGATTTTGATTCTTGTGTTTTATGGGTTTTGAAGAGTTAAGTGATTTTAAAGAATTGATTGTAAGAATTGATGAAGAACCTAAGAATGAAGTTAAAGAAAACAGTTTGGATTTTGAATCTGGCAGTAGGTTCGAAACTTCACCAGAAATTATATAAAAATAATTTGGAGGTTAATTTTATATATTGTATTTATACATCGATCTAGTTTTGTTTAAAACAAACGGGGATCAATTTCAAGATGTGTACAAAAATATATGAGTTTTTAACCAAGGAAAGGTCAGAAATATCGGACAGCAGATTCTGCAAAACAGATTTTGTTGATCAACTTTGAAAATTCACAATAAATTGTAAAGAATGAATTAGAAGGAGTTATTTATATGGATAGATTCGTATTCGAGTATAGTGTTTAATGGAAGAAACGGAATTAAATTCCAGTGTGTATATCAGTACAGAATACTGATTCTTTAAAGGTAGTACAAGTTGTCAGAATATGGAAATTTTAGAAAGTTTGGTGATTGTAATACAAATTTTCAAATTGTTGGGAGTGTTAGTGTAATTATTCCTTTGTGTACTTGGTTGTTAATAATTTCAATACTGGAATTTTTG